TGTATGAATGTACCACAGTTTGTTTGTTCATTCAGCTTTGGGTGAATTTTGGTTGCTTCCAGTTTTTGGCAATTGTGAATAAAGTTGCTACAAACATTTTTGTGCAGGTTTTGTGTGGACAAGGTTTGCAAGTAAATAACCAGGAAGACCACTATGGTAAAACTATGCTTAGCTTTGTAATAAATTAGGACACTATCTTCCATAGTAGCTGTACCATTTTGCATTCCTGTTATCAATGAATGAGAGAGTTCCTTGTTGCTCCACATCTCACCAGCAGATGCTCTTAAAAATGTTTTGGATTGGGGGGCTGGCACCGTGGCTCACTTGGTTAATCCTCCGCCTGCAGCGCTAGCATCCCATTTGGGTGCCAGGTTCCAGTTCTGGATGCTCCTCTTCCAGTCCAGCTCTCTGCTGTGGCCCAGGAAGGCAGGGGAGGATGGCCCAAGTGCTTTGGCCCCTGCACCGGCCTGGAGACCAGTAGGAAACACCTGGCTCCTGGCTTCGGATCGGCGCAGCTCCATCCATAGTGGCCATTTGGGGAGTGAACCAACGGAAGGAAGACCTTTCTCTCTGTCTCTCTCTCTCACTGTCTATAACTCTGTCAAATAAAAAAAAATGTTTCAGATTTTAGCCATTTTAAGAGTGTAATGTTCACTGTTGTTCAAAATTTCAGTTCCCTGATGACACATGGTGTTGGGCATCTTTTCACATGCTTGGTTGCCAGCTGTACATCTTCTTTTTTTTTTAATTTTTTTTTTAAGATTTAAGATTTATTTATTTGAAAGAGTTACACAGAGAGAGGATAGGCAGAGAGAGAGAGAGGGATCTTCCATCCGATGGTTCACTCTCCAGATGGCCGCAACGATTGGAGCTGTGCCGATCCGAAGCCAGGAGCCAGGAGCCTCTTCCAGGTCTCCCACGCGGGGTGCAGGGGCCCAAGCACTTGGGCCATCCTCCACTGCTTTCCCAGGCCATAGCAGAGAGCTGGATCAGAAGTGGAGCAGCCGGGACTCGAACTGGTGGCCATTTGGGATGCCGGCGCTTCAGGCTAGGTCGTTAACCCGCTGAGCCACTGCGCTGGCCCCACCTGTACATCTTCTTTAATGAAGTTTGTCCGGCTCTTATGTCACTTTTTAACTGGGTTGATTGATTATTTTTTATTGTTGAGTTTTAAGAGTTCTTTGTATATTTCAGATACTGGTACTGTATCAAATATGCGTTTTGCAAATATTTTCTCCTCATATATAGGCTTGTATTTTCATCCTCTTGGCAGTGTTTTTTCCAGAGAAAAACCCAGTAATTTTATAGCTTTCCATTACATATTTAGGTGTAGGACCCATTTGAGTTAATTACTTTTTGGAAATGTATAATAAGGTCAGAGTCTGTCTCTTTCTCTCTCGCATATACATTACAGGCAGCTTTCCAGTTGTCCCAGCATCATTTGTTGACCTGTATTCATTCTTTCTTTGGTTGCCTTTGCTCCTCTATCAAAGGTATGTGGCTAGTTTTGTGCAGGTCTATTGTTGAGCTCCTTGTTCCTTTTTACTGACCTCTATTCTTTTGCCAATCCACCCTGTCTTGCCAGTCCCATGTGGTCTTGATTTCTACAGCTTTAAAAAAAAAAAAAATTAGATTGTGTGAGTCTTCTGTTCTCAGCCCTGTATTAGCTAATCTTGTCTTTGTTTTTCCTTGTAACCTTTAGAATCAGTCTGTTGATATCTACAGAGTGAATCGCTAGAATTTTGATTTGAATTGTACTGAATCTGTAGATCAATTAGAGGAAGAAACAACATCTTAATAATGGTGAATTTCCCTATCCATGAATGTGGACCATCCACTCAAGATTTTCTCTTGAGCTGATTTTCTGCAGTTTGGATCTGCTATCTTGGTTCATGTACTCTGAGATCCTGTGTCTGAGATTCAGGATTTGTCATTAATTTTGAAAAATTCATATCCATTGTTTCTCCACATAATTCTTCTTCTACCTCTGGTTTTCCATTAGAATTAGGTACACCTTTTGTAACTGTCCCACAACCACAGTTTCTGAAGATCCTGTTCCACCTTTTTCATTATTTTTTTTCCTTTGTGTTTCAGTTTTAGATGTTTATATTAACATATCTTCAAACTCACGCATTCTTTCCTGGGCTATGTCAAGTCTACTGTTGAGGCCATTAAAGGCATTCTTTCTTTTACATCGTTTCTTGTTTCTAGCATTTTCTTTTTATTCTTTCTTAGCAGTTCCATGTCTATTCTTACATTACCCACCTGTTCTTGCATATTGTCCACTTTTCCCTCTAGAGTGCTTAGTATGTGAACCAGTTACTTAATTCCTAATTTGATAATTTCCAACTTTGGCATACCTGAGCCTGGGTCCTGGTGTTTGGTTTGTCTTTCCTGACGGTGTATTAAGCACATCTTGTACATATTTTTTTAATGAAAGCCAGACATGCTATATCAGATAAGAGGAATTTAGGTAGCTAGAACTTAAGTGTGAGGTTTCAGGTTTATCAGGCTGTTAAGCTGTGTTACTGTTTGCAGTAGCCGTGGTGTCAAAGGCTAAAATTTCCTCCAGTGTCCTTGTTTTTGTTACCCATGTTGTCTTTGGATGCCCTTAGAGACTCTTAAAATAGGGTCTGAGGTTGGGATTCTTTTAGCTGTAATGTTCTGTTATCATACAGGAGCCCTTCTGATGTGGTGGTGAGGTAAGGGGAGCAGGGAAGCGTTCCACAGCCCTATGTTCTGGTCTGTTATTTCAGTGAGACTGACTTGAGCGTTTCCCCCTCCTATGTGGTAGGCTGGAGCTGGCTGGAGTTGGGTGTTTATTCCCTTTTGTGTAGATCCGCAGGTTCTGGTGGACCCCAGTGGCCTAGGATCTGATGGTCTCCCTTGAGGGCAGATCTTGTTAAGAAGAACACAGAGCTCCAGGAGTATTCCGGAATGGTTACTTTTCCCTCCCCCCTGCCAAAAACAATGAGATTTTCCCTCAGATCTTCACAGTGAGGATCTGATAAGGCTGCTAGAGGTAAACTCAGGAAAGCCGTTGGGGGTGCTGTCAAGCTGAGCCCCCTTGGAATTTTTAACTACCAATCTAGTCTGCGCCGAGCCTCCAGCCATTCCTCAATTAGAGTTTACAATGGTCTTCCTGAGTTAGGCTCTAGCTGTGATACTAGCTTCAGCTGCTGGCTCCTGCGCCTGGGTTCCTACTGTTGATAACAGTAATCCTCAGGTAAGCTGTGATTCTCTACATCTGTTTGTGTCTCTCCTGTTTTGGGGCAACAGTTTCCACTGCCACCTCAATGTTCTGATGCACCTAAGAGGACTTGTAGGTTTCCCATTTGTACAGCTTTTTTTTTTTTCTTTTTGTAAGCATGAGAGTGACAACTTCCAAGTGCTTTATATCTTGGACAAGAAACTGCAAATCCCTCAGCATTCCTTTGTAAATTCATGTTAAAAGTGAGAATTGCTAGTGTCAAATCTTCAGTCTATTCGCATTCTCCATAAAAAACTTCTTTGTTTTGATTCTTGAAAGAAAAAAATTTTCAGGGCCTTTCTAAGCACTTTCCTTTCAAATAGCACATTTTTTTAAATCGTTGTTACAAATAAAGAGAATAGGATAAGAATTACTAATGAACATTAAATCTTCTTGTAGAGTATAAAACCATTTAAATGGCGTGCATATGATGCGTTTCGCATTTAAAAGGCTCAGTGCTCTGTATCATGAAGTAGTAATCCAAATTTCAAGCTTACTTTGCTTCCTCTTGAATGCTCAATTTTCCACTACATACAGGTTAAAGGTCAATGGATTCACTTGCCAATAATCTTTGTATGTATGCTGTCCATGTAGAAAGCACTGCAAAGTGAGTTAGAATGAACCTTGGACACTTAGATTAGAAAGTGATAAAAATAAGACTTGGTGAAGATGTACTTACTCGGTACATGCATTTGTTAATAGGTGGCTATAAAGAAGGTGATTTCAGATTTTAAATTTTCCCATAGGAGATTTTGCTTTTTTAAGAACTTTGTTATTTAACAGGACCGCTTGAATTGGGGCACACTATTTGGTTCATATATAATTCTGTGATCTAGTTGGTTGGATTATCACTGCTTTCCATCCTCCTATCTGTACTCATATTTACACAGGTATGCACAGACACATAACATGTTGTATTTCACAAACTTTCAGAAACAGAATTTGAACTTTGGGGAAAATTCAGTGAACACTCAAAATGTCTTGTTGAAAGAATTATTCTGCTTAAAACTTTTGAAGTGATCAAAATGTTTTTAAACGATATATCTGTTATTACAAAATGCTTGTATTTTGAGGCCACAAACATCATACACTGTAGCTATCATCACTGGCCATAGAGAATTGCTTACAAGTATAGTGAGAAGGGAAATGATTAAAAATCTCTGCAACTACACCCACGTATGGAGAGTGGGAAAATCATGAAAAACAGAGAATATATTGGATTTACATGAACATAATTGGCTTTCTTGTATAGCAAAAACTGGCTAAACTCCAGTAGAAGTCCTGGTTATCACTACTATGGGAGGCACAAATTTTGGGGGTAATGATAAGAATAACGGCAACAAGATTATTGCTGATACTAAAAGCTAATCATCAGTCACTATGTACCAGCTACTGGTCACGTATTGTGTCAATAGTCCGGAGTTCTGTGGCATATATGCTATTATAATCCCCATCTTACAATGAGCAAACTGAGGTACAGAGGTTAGCTGATTTGCTATGCCGTGTCAGAGTCTGTATGCAAACTCACTCTAGATTCTGAGGCCAGCGTTCTCAACACCATATTTTCAGAATGTTAAAACATTTGTAATTTAAGTTATTCTTTCCCTACTTAAAAAAAGAAATCATAAGTAACTATGATTTTTTTTTCCAGGCATACCCCATGGTTGTTCTGGATAACACATAGCATTTAGTGCTGTCAATCTGAAAAAACAAAAATAGCATTAGCATCAATCCTTATGGGTCTACTGACCAGTTCAAGTGGCTTCTCCTAGCAGGGTCAGACGCTGTGTTAGCCGGGCTGGTGATTCACACACTTGAAATCCTCCACAGGCAGATATCCACATCACGCAACAACCAGCGCAGAGTTAGACTGTGACAACCAGGCAAAGGTGCAGTAAAATACCCTGATGTCCACCGGGGAGGGATACGCAGTGGCTCTTTGTGGAGCTCAAAATATGCTTTTTTTTTTTTTTTAAAGACTTGAGAGGCTTGAAATGTATGGTTCTAAAGACAAAAAAGTGCTTAAGTTTCGTTCCGTAACTCGCAGTCCTGTCAGCAAACAGGCAGTGCTAGCCAGCACCGTCGTGCCCGGTTCCTTCCAACCCGGCGGGCTCTGGCCCATGCCCCGGAGGCAGCCTGGGTTCCGGACTCGGTCTACACCGCGAACGCAACTCAAGGAGACTCTTCTGAATCCACGCAAGACCGTCTTGCAAAAGCGCTAAGAAAGCACAAAGAAAAGTGTGCCTAAAGCCATTTTTCCGACCCTCCCTGAAATGCAGGTTTATATATTCTCGCTTCTGAAAGCCGTTTCTACAGTAACTTCACACCTTCCTTCCTCGGAGAGAGGCGTGCAACAACGGGTCTGTGAGGTTTTCCCTGGCATTAACTAAGTTCGCGACAGAACGCCTCAGGGGCCCCGCGGGGTCCCCCGTGCCGTGCGGCAGAGCGCGGGCAGCCTGGCAGGAAGGCCGCGCCGCAACGCGTCCGAGCGGGGAGACCCGGGGGGCTCGCGCCCAAGCCGCCAGGGCTGCGCTTTCCCACAGGGAACTCGGCTACGCCGCCTGAGGGGAGCGCGGGAGCGGGAAAACGTGATCCAACCTCGGGCCCGGGCAGCCGCCAACTCCCCTCAGCAGCGCCTCCCGCAAGCCCGCCGCCGCCGTCCCCAGCGGCAGGCGCTGGGTGCCCCCTAGTCCCGGCGCAGACGCACCCCCCAACGCCTTTCTCTCCGCCCCGGCCGCACACAGACGGGCACGTGAGCGCCGCGGCGCGTCCCAGCTGTGCCTCAGCTGAGCGCCTCCGGATTGGCTGAGAGCGACGTGGGCTGGGGTGGGCACTGGCCGCCTGCGTCGCTCGCCATTGGCTCCCGAGCAGCCCGCCTCCCCCTCAGGTGAGGCGGGCCTGCGGGGGCGCGCGCGCGCGCGCTGGGCTCGGCGGGCAGGCGAGGGGCGGGGGCGCGCGCTCCCGCCCCGCCCCGCCCCTCCCCGCGCGGCCGGGCGCGCCTCCGCCCTTGCCCGCCCCCTGCCCGCTGCCTCAGCTCCGCCGAGCGCAGAGCCGCCTCGTCTGAGGGGACGCGAGGACCGTCCTCGCTGCCGAGTGGGCCCAGCGCGTCGGGCCGGGCCGTGACAAGCAGCCTGCGCGGAGGCTCGCGCCGGACTCCGCGCTCGCCGCCCCGCTCTGCTCTGCGAGGAGCTTCCCGCCTCGCACCCCTCCCCCGCCGCCGCCCCCACCCGGACTTGCTCTGCTCTCTCCGCGTGTGCAGGGAGCCGGCGCTTAGGCCGGAGCGAGCCTGGGGGCCGCCGGCCGGGAAGGCATCGCGGGGACCGAATCGCCATGGAGGGCGCCGGCGGCGCGAACGACAAGAAAAAGTAAGCCCCTTCCCCGCCCGCCGGGCCGCGGCGCTCCCGGGGTGGGTCGCTGGGCGGGCGGGGGTCGCCCGGCCTTTTTTTTGTTGTTTCTGCCTCCTCTCCCCTCCCCTCTCTTTCCCCCAACCTCGCCGGCCGGGCTCCCCCGCTGTCCACGTCGCCATCTTGTCGTGGGGGGTGGGAGACGCCTCGAAAGTGCTTCCAGGGGGCCGGGGGTCTGCACGCCGCCGCCGCCGCCGCCCCCAGCCGGGGCTGCGGGGGTCCTCGCGCCGCCCCCCGCGCCCGCCGCGGAGCCCCAGCCTTGCGGCGCGGCCCCGTCCGGAGGGGACTTCGCCCCAGCCTGGAAGCCGAGCCCGCAGCTCGGCGCCGCCGCTCGCACCCGGAGCTTCCGCTCCCTCCCGGTGGCGGGGAAGGCGCGGGCCGGGCGCCCCGCACGCTGGCCGCGGCTCGCCGGCGGGTGCGGGGCCCCGGCGGCCGCGGCTGGGCTGGCCCTTGCGGCGGTCCCGCCGCGGCGGGTGTCGCTGCCTTTGTGCCGTGGTGGGGGGATTGGCCGCGGCGGCCTTCGGATGCTAACTTTTTAGTTTGCACGTGCAGGTTTTGTTTTTCGTTTTGTTGTTTTAATCGGCTGGAAAAACTTGCCCAGACTTGGGAGTCGGAGTAACGGGAATTGGGGGGCACATCGCCAGGCTGTAGCGGGAACTTGGGAAGTGGAGACTTGGGGTCCAGGGAGCCCAGACGATGAGCAGGAATCCGTGCCTCATTCATTCCCGAAAATATCTTGGTGAAAATGTAACGGGCGGCTTCGATTTAGGCAGACAGTGTCAGTGAGGTTGAAAAGCGAAGTAGATGACCGGAGCAAACGAAATGTAACACTAAAGTGTTGGAGGATTTTTTTTTTTTTCAGAACTGTCTCGTTTTCCTGATATTTTAATATATTTGAAGGAAACCATCAGCACATATCCAGATTGTGTTGGGACTTAAAGCAAGTTTATTGAACAGCGTGAAGTGTAAGAGGGGTACATTATAGAAAGATTAAGAATGGTGGAACCCGTGGTATTTACAGTACCCCCCTCCCCATTTTCTCCACTTGGGTATTTTCACCGTTGAGGAAATGATTTTAAGGAATTGAGGATTTATATAGTAGGAGTAGTAACGTAGGCTGGCTTTACTGTTAAGTCCTTCCACTCTTATGGGAGAGATTAACTTCTCTAATCAGTATGAGCGGAAGATAAACTTGTTTGTATCCTTGCTGTTTTGTAGATTCTTTATCTTGGTCCCTATTCAATAGAATGTAAAATTCTCAGTTTATATACACCGGGGAGAGAGCACTTACACAATTTAAAACATGAGCACACAAGTCTAGATTTAATTTCAAGAGTTAACCAGGAATTAATTGCAATTAATTTTGCAGAAGTGATTACAGTGTTTTTGATGAAATGAAGAGGCTGCTATATTGTAAACCAAAGGCAGATTACCTCTGTGTAGTGCCAATTTTCTGTCCTTATTATATACTGAATCATAGTTACCACAATGCATTAGGTTGTGTACCAGTCACTTCCTTTTTATATGTAATACTTTACTGATTTCTTCTTTGCTATTCTTCAGTTAATACCAGAAGCCACTGTAAAATAAGTGAGTGAATAAATTAGCAACTACTGCGCACCAGCCCCAGCGCTAAATGAATTCTTTGGTTTTCCCCATTCCCATTGTTATTTTCTTTTTTTTTTTTTTTTTTTTTTTGTTTTATATATATTTTTGACAGGCAGAGTGGACAGTGAGAGAGAGAGACAGAGAGAGAAAGGTCTTCCTTTGCCGTTGGTTCACCCTCCAATGGCCGCCGCTGCAGCCGGCGCACCGCGCTGATCCAATGGCAGGAGCCAGGAGCCAGGTGCTTTTTCCTGGTCTCCCATGGGGTGCAGGGCCCAAGCACCTGGGCCATCCTCCACTGCACTCCCTGGCCATAGCAGAGAGCTGGCCTGGAAGAGGGGCAACCGGGACAGAATCCGGCGCCCCGACCGGGACTAGAACCCGGTGTGCCGGCGCCGCAAGGTGGAGGATTAGCCTATTGAGCCACGGCGCCGGCCTCCCATTGTTATTTTCAAAATTTTCTCATTTGAAAACTTAACCACCTGGGATCGAATGTAGTCGTAACACTTAATATGGAGATTCTTAATATAACTGAAATTTTAAGTTAAACAGTAAATAGTGATTACTCAGCAACTTTTGGATGATGTTAATTAAAAATGCCCTTTCCTGACTAATATTTCTTCAAGTTTTTGAAAGGTAACAGATTGAGGTGGAGATTTTCTTCTTGGAATTTTCCCAGTTTTAGAGGAGGACAAGGCAGCTGAAAATCAGAATTGAAAGAAATCAGAGCAGAGTGGTGTGGTTGTAATAGATTTAACAGGGAGTTTCATGTTGATTCCTTAGTTGTAGGTGCTGGACTTACTGAGAGCACAAGGATAATAGGGGTTTTTAGATTCAAAAGGAATGGCAGGAGGTTCTGTTTTTAGGCTTCAGGTCAGGTTCCTTCAGAGTTTTCCAAAACAAATAATTACTGGAGCATTGTAGTGAAATCTCTGAGAATAAACATTTCTAAATTTTCTTTTTTAACCTTGGCCACTAAGAGTCATTTATTAGTAAACTTTTGTTGTTGCAGTTTGACTTGTTTATAACAGCAGCAGGGCTAGAGATGAAGAGTGTAGAAGCTGGAGGCCTGAATCTCTGAGTTAGAGTGCCAGCCTTTCCACTTGTGAATTGGGCAAGTCCTGAATGCGTCCATGCCTAACTTTTCCTTTTGATGATAAGAAGCAGCCATCTTAACAGTTAATATGTATGGGAAATGAGATCATGCATGTAGAACACTTAGCCCAGGGTCGGGAATGGGGGAGTCTTGGTAACAGTTTGTGTACTTCCTAGTAAATGTTACCTGTTTAAGCTTTAAGTTTGAACTTCCACCACCCTTAAAATGCTTTTTGTAAGTCCTTCCAAATATTTCTTTCAGTTTCTCTTCTGTCTTCATGCATCTTTTCTGTATCTCCAAAAAATGAAAAAACTAACATTCAATTTGGATCTTGAAAAGAGTTCTTTCCTGTTAAAACAGCACCTCCAGGGCTACATTGGCATCTAGCATCAGTTGCTTTTCTTGAACATCTGCCCTGCACTCTACAGCTTCTCACCCTGTGTTTTCTCCCCATATGCGCCATTTTGAATTTACTCTGGACCCTGCAGTCATAACACATATACAGGTCATACTGTTCATTCCAGTAGGGCACTGCAGTTGTAGCACTGGCAGCAACGTTTTTTGTCTTGATGCCAAAATTTAGAGTATATGGTTTTATAAATATTAATCCTTGTTAAAGATAGTTGATAAAAATACTCTCAGTAAAGCACCCATAAAGAAAACTCCTTTTCTTATGAATTTCTCTAGAGTTAAGGCTATTGGCTTCCATTTCAAGGCAAGGCTTAAGGGCAGTACTTTTGATCTGATTTTTGTGATTTTTGGAAGTGTATATTAATGTACACTTGCACATGTATGTGTTTTATCAAACATGTTTTAGACTGATGAAAGTGTTGCAGTTCACTCCCACAATCCACTGAAAAGTACCTTACCAGTTCTGAGAAAGTCCAATCTTCCTACCTGCTAGCCTCTATTGTCTCTGTGGCTCTAATGGTGTCTGGGCTTAGGGTTTAGATTTTGTGGTTAACATTCTATTGTTGTATATCAAGAATGCTGTGTAAAAGGCTGAAGGGAATTTAAAGTTACCATGCACTGATGTTAAAGGTTTCAATTAGATTACTGTGAAAGTTCATATTTTAACAATTTTAGATACTTGAAAATAATGTATCCCTTTCTTATCTAAGATTGTTAACATAGTTCTGTTTCTCAACCAGGAGAGTATAATCTAACTTTGAATATGTTGTTAGATTAGGTCCTGTGAAGATGCTGATTTGAATTCACAAGGAGGTTCTCTGTGCTTTTGAACTTTGGGACTGCTTAGACAGTTGGAGGATTTTACTCAGCCTTCTGCTCTGTGTATGCCATGGTCTGTGGGTTGTGTTCTTTCTGCTTAACTCTGCAGGGTTGGAAAGAGAATTTGAAACTAAGGCAAGCTAATCTTGTTGCCCAGTATTTTTGGTAAAGACATACTGAAAATGTTTAAGTGATAGGTTTTGGAGTTTAAAAAATAATTACATCCCCCTGTCTTGGTACATCAAGAATTAACTGTCTTGTATGTGTACTGAGTTTTATATTATGTTTTATGTTTTTTTGCAATATAAATTAATAAACCTACATCATCTGCTTCATATAGTTCCTTTAGAAAATCAAATATATATGAGTTTTTAAAAAACAAAAATGAAAATATTTCCTCATGACTTTTCCCCCCATAGCTTTTGAAGTGATTGTGTTTTTTAAAATTATGGTAAACACATTAATGTAAAATTCCCATCTTAACCATTTCTGGATGTACAGTTTACTAGGGTGTTAAATATACTCATATTGTTGAACAAACTCTAGAACTTTTTCATCTTGCAAAACTGAAATATACCCATGAAACAGCTCCCTTTTTTCCTCTCTGCTCAGCCCTTGG